CCTCCACCTCCCATAGAAATCAAAGGCAAGATGGAGTTCAAGATCAAAGAGATACTCGACTCCAAGATTGAGCGACGTAGACGCAACAAGTTGCTCTACCTGGTCAAGTGGCTAGGCTATGAAGGGACCGACAAAGAGACACAATGGCTCCTTGCTGGTGAACTCAATCACACCTCCAACCTTATCGAAGCATTCCACTCTCGGTACCCAGATAAGCCTGGACCCGAAGCTCCTTAGGAACCCCGACTCCTCTCCCATCTCTCCCTTTCTCTCCACTCCTCACTTCCATTTTCTTTTTTCTTTTCTATAAGTACAGCTCCCCTCACCTTGCTAATTCTGGGCCTTCAAGGGTTCAGGCCTAAGAAGGGGATACTGTCATATCCATCCCCAGCCATTGACTTCCACTCCCTCTGATCCCTCCAGACTACCTCCACTCCTTCTTCACTAACCTTGGAGCTCCCGTATTCCGCAATCACCTCAGTACCCCTCGATGGTCACCACCCCCTCTTTTCAATTTATTACCTACGCCTCCCTAAGTATGGAGCCCCAAAGGCTTCCGGACAGCTCCAACGTCCGCTAGCGCACTCCTGCCTCCGCTGAGCAATACACTCGCTTGCCCTGCAAGTCCACCTTCAGGCCTATCCCTCCTTTCCGTTTCTGGGTTATCGCCTACCATTCCGTTAACCCCGTAACCCGACTCATCGGTAATATTCAATTGGCTAATGATTAACCCTGTTAGCTCCGCTCCGCTTGGCTCCGCCATTTGTGGGCCCACCCTTGTTGTAACTATATATACTCAACTTGTACATAGGTTACACCTCAGTAATAAAATTGACTAGAGTTTACCCCCTTCAGTTCTGGTTGCCAGTTTAGTAAGTTAGGGCATGGACATGTTACTTGGCACAGCGCTCCTGGCATAAGTCGCTGAGGCTGAAGCCCTCCACCATGGAGACACTCCTTCATCTCGACCTGGTCTCTGACAGATATGGTCCAGGCAGCTCCAGGATGCCTGGCCACACACCCATGGGTCCAACTTCCACAGTCACCCACTACCATGCACTGGTCAACCAGCCTGCTTTCCCCAACAACTCCTGCTACCAGTACGCTCCCATGAGTGCCAAGTCACTGATAGCCACCAACTGGATGACTCTCTTTGGGAGTCCCAGTATTACACACTACCAGTATGCTCCATTGAGCACCAAGTCACTGCTAGCCAACCACTCCCAACACACCCACTACCGGCATGCTCCCAGGAGTGCCAAGTCCCTGTTAGCAGACCACTTAGTGGATCCCTCAAGGAGCCTCCACTGTACTCACTGCCGGTACACTCCCAGGAGTGCCAAGTTACCATTGGCCAACCCACAGGTTATACCTTCAGACACTCTTCCCCTTCTGCTCTCCCTCTGATGGCTATGCAGCCACCTCTGCCCATGAACAGAATGGCTCAGGTTGGGTTCCCTGGAACCCATTCCTGTAACATTGGTGCCCCAACCCTGGTTGCACCATCATCAAACTCAATCATGTGACCTCGAGCTCACACACAGGAGGATTACTGTAAGGCCAGTTGGTGTGCCAGCCTTGGTGATTCCTCAATCCTCAGGCTGTTGAGAACATAGACTGTATGGAGCTAGTATTTGACAGGGGGGAGAAGAGCAAAGCTCCTTTTCCCAACCCTGGATGCTATATATGTACATACAGGTGTTTTACATTGTTTAGTCCAAAGTTTATTATAGAATAATGAATAAAAGGAATGCACACATCATCCATTCCTTACAATTACCCATCTAACTTAGGTGCTGTCAACTCAGACTATCAGTATTCTATCATCCCACTAAAGCATGTGCTAGACAAGTTTTCATCACCACAGAGGTTCTATTATGAGTGTGCGCCTATGGACATGCTATGTGAATGGCAATGGCTGGGCCCAGATGACATAGAGGTTCAGTCATTCCACAAACTGGCTACAGTTGACACTGATCCTTCAGGCAATGGGTCAGTTCACCTGAACCATTTCCAGTTCCAATCTCATCCTTGCTGTGTTCAAGGCAGACCCAGGACAGATCATCCATTCAACATTGATCACATTGGGCTGGATCGAGTTAAGTACATCAAACTTGGTATTACTTGCAGCAAAAACTAGCTGATTTCATCATACATTTCAAACATGTTGAGGTTCTTGCCCTCACACAGTCCCAAGCAGTGGGCACCCATTTTGTCACAACCAACCCCTCACTGGCATCAGTATGGCCTCACAATCCCAAGGTTGTTGCAATCTCGCCCACTGTAGTGAAATTGGAAGTGTCCTGTCCTCAGTGCCAGGTGGCACAGTTGCAGCCTATACATCAAGTTCAACTCATTCCAATAGCTCAATGCTTCAGCCACATCAAATGGCTGATCCTGTGCAGCTGAAGGGTCAGTTGAGGTTCCAACCTTAGTTGTGACTCCTGCTATCCTCAAGCTGTCAGAAAGTAGGCAGTATAGAGCTTTATTTCAACAGGGGAGGAGAAGAGTGAAAACCTGTTTCACCCTTCCCCACATTTTATATACATTGTTTTACATCAAGGAATAAAGAGTAATAAACAATGAATAAAGATAGCGTGCACAGCACGCATCACCACCCTGAGACCCATGTACTCCTTACAGCAGCACTCCACAGGACTAGCGTGTCCATCAGAGCATCTCCACCCAGTTCTGTTTTGCTCATCAAGCACGACACCCCTTGTGGCCCAACCTGTCATGAGACTGAACCATCATCCTTACCTGTCCAATCAGATTGACTGGCCAGTTCACTGACTGCCCTGTTGGATCGTCCAGATGCACCATCATGGCACTTGCCTAAGCTGGTGTGCTCAGATGAGCTGGACTGTTTAATTGCTACCAGCTCATCCATGGCAACATCCTCCAACAGCTCAACGCTTTTTGCAGTCAAGACATTGTAACAGGGGAATCATCCCAATGTCACACAGGCTCACAGGGGGGACAGTAGTCTCTCAAGGCCTCACTGAATGTCACTAAAAGAGGTCCTAGAGTACGGTGTTTTTGGTGTTACGGCTGTATAGTTGTGGCTGTGCAGTCATGGGACTACCCCAACTACACTCGCCAATGTATGTACATGAAAGAATGAAAGAGCACTGTTTTGTAGTGCAAGGGTTTATCCCTGCAACAACATTGCCCTGGCTTGTCCAAAATTGGCATCCAAGTATTGATGAGTGACTATTGATCTCGGAGTGATAAGCACTAGCTCAGTCTCAAGCTATATGCATGAGAACTATAATTGTATTACCTATAAGTGCTAGCTAAAGGCAATATAACATACATATCATGTAAGTTACAGAGTAAAAGGGATGAGAAACGAAAGGAAGTATTACTGACCTCAGTCTCAAGCTACAGTAGTGGACACACAAAGACTTGAAAGTTTCTCAGCTGGGTTCTGCTACTCCAATAATCCTAATGTTGATGGAGACAGACACCAATCGAGTGTAGCTACCAAAAAACAGGCTTCCTGAAATTTTCCCATTTTTTTTTTTAGCAGTGGCCAATTTTTGGCTGAAAATTTTTCAGATAAAATTAAAAATTTTGAGTTTCAGTGGACCCAGAAAAGTAAAACAGTGCAGTATTCATGACTATGAAGGGGGTAGGATGGCTTCCATGGCAGCCATTGCAACTTCTGACATGGGGCAGTGCCTCTTTTGTTTCTTCACTTCCCATTCCATGGCCTTCCCAGTCAATCCATTGCAATATGCATCCATGAGTCACCACACATGGTTGATGAATTTTCAGATAGTACTGAGAGGGCATGAATCCAGACATTGAAGTGCTGCAGCCTTGGCAGCAGCAAAGGTGGGCTTCTGTCAGGGCCCGGCCTCGGACTCGGAGGCTCCCTGACCTCAACCCCCATCTAACCTGTCCTCACACTATGCGGGGCATGAGATGTATAGTAAAAGAAAGGGAATATATACACTTGCCTATGCAGGGCATGAAATGAGAAGAAGGGTAAAGGTCTCATCTCACCGCATGGTTGCTATATAAAGGAATGGGTCACATGCCCACAACTATACAGCTCCTAGAGTTGTGTAGTGTGACCTGGAGGGAACATCCAGGTGGCAGTGCCCAGTAAGCGTGGAACGTTCTGGGCGAGCTGCTCACTCAGAAAGTTCCCACGCTATCCCGTGTGCGCGGATACACAACACAGAAAGGCAACAACAAGGCAACAATAAAGGAATGGAAGGAAGGATTGGTTGGGGAGTCTGGGGCACCCTAGGGCAGGGTGCTGAACCCTGACAGCTTCCAAATGTCATGATATCGGTACTTGCCATACCCCCATTACTGCAAAAGTATTTCACCACCTGCATCTTGAAGCCATGTTAAGAGCGACATTGGGACCTGGATGCTAAATAAGGAAGGCATGTGCTAGGCCGGAACCAAATCACCATGGCACATTCAAACATCCTTGATTTTGCATGTCAAATTCACCCTTACTCAAAATATTCTTCCATAATCTTATTCCTCTTGTAATTGCCTTCCACATGATGCCCCTTCCAACTATAGGTGATCATTTTTTAGCATGTGGCCAATTTTTCACCAAAACTAAAAAAATTGAATCTTCAAATATTGGTTTATTGTTAGCAGCAAATGATCAGCAAGTGCAAGATAAGTGATTTCACCAAGTTTGAGGCTTATTGAATGTATATCTTGGACACACTAAAATTTTGAAGACTTTGCATGTCCACTACTGTAGTAACCACATACCACATCTCACTTCTAAAAGTGAAGAATTGAGAGTGTTATGTGGTGGTTGATCATTGTCAGGTAAAATCACATTGAGGGGTGAAAACCTGCAGTTGACAACTAAATCCTCAACCATTGTTAGGGATAAAAACCATATATACAATCCATGAATAGGGACACAAGCACACACTCAAGAGAGAAGCAATCAAACAAAAACTATTGGGAGCCTCCAATGATGCCCTGAATGACCCTGTCAGATTGTTAATAGCAGTAATTGTCATGCCACCCACCACTAAGTCCTCTTTACTCAATGGACATGGAAAGTTCGCACTTCCTCGGAACACTGGACTGATTTTTGCCAGGACTCTGATCCTCAACTATCTTATAGGTGAAGATGAATTCCGACCAACAAATACTGTCAACTGACCGTAAGAACATAATCCACAACAATATTTTGAGGTGTGGAGCCGTCAAATCCACATTTGCTTGCAATGTCCTTTGCAACAACTAAGGTGGGGTCGAGACTTGTTTCATAGGTGATGATAAACGGGAAAAGGATGGGTGTAATAGCATGCGAAGCGAACTTGACATTTGATAGTGAGCCACCACCAATGGAAGATATGTTCCCGACAGGATATGTCGCTACGGCACTTATGTTCTGGAAGGTAGCAGAAAAAAAATTGGGATTGTCCACACTGATATTTAACTATACTATGGAGGTCAACCAGCATAAGAATGAAAGATATGATAAAGAATACCTGTAGATTGATCCTGAAGCCGCCATTCTGTACATCAACCTAAAAGAAGAATGAGGAAGGTTCGTACATTCCCACCGGGCAGGCCTACTTTATTGCCTGTAGAAGGGAAAACGAGCCCGTTGAACGTGACATTAGGGGTCGGATCCACTGCAATGTGGTGTTAGGGATCCTAGATGAAAATGCCGAAGGAATGGATCGCACCAGTCCCAATGCAGCGACCGTGGACACAAAAAGCACCAGAGCCGTCAATAGGGTGCAGCAAAGGAATCTCGCGAAGCAGCTCCCTCGAGAGCCCTGGAGAGTCCAATTAGAGAGAAAGATTCTCTGCAACGTCACCACACCTTAGTCCAAACATTTCTGTGATCCTCGTAGCTCGAAAATCTCACTGCTGGGGTAGACCTATAAATGACGAATCAGGAGGAAGGATACGGCCGTGGCAAGAAGGAATGAACTTTTCTTGCGCTACAGAAGCTTCAGTGGAGGATTGTTTGGAATAGTTCCGCTCTCCGGGGCCATCAGTTTGGGGAAAGGTGCATCTTGGTACGCAGGATAAACACTCTCTCCATATGGCATGTTGTAGCCAAATTGGTGTTCGCGTCCCTCGTTCGAAAGCTGGTTAGGGATTTGATAAGGATTTTGATACGACATGACTGCAATTGTCTTACACTGCCACACTTAGGATGGCGGCTAACGGGCGAGATGACCACAATGAATTATTTCCTTATTTTTATCAACACCACGACAATACCCACCGACACCACACAACCCGAGGATCACTGACGATACCAACCAAACTACCCACACTTCATGTATAGTCCCCTTCATGTACGCCACGGGGTATCCGCACTGCCACGACATCACGAGAGGCCGCGGGTTATTAAGATAGATTATCATCATCATCACCGGAAAACCTGAATAATCGTTTCCAACACCAGCGACATTGTCAAAGTTGAATCCACCCCTGAGCACATTGCTCTGGTGCAACCGTAGAAACAGACCATTGTAGTCTTGATTCATAACATAACCACACCGATACCTCTCCCTACTCCCACCCCGCCGCCTTCATCGCTGGACAATGCCCGATGACCCTCGAAAGGAAGAGTACGATAGTTATATAGATAGTAGTTCAGGTACCCATCTCCGGGGCCAAACTAGATGAAAATCGATCAGGGCGTACACCACCGACCTAGTTAATAGCGAACCTTCAAGTCTTCGAGGAACAATGCATTGTCCATGAGAGTAAGAGCATTGAAGACGTCAAATCCAGCCTGCAGTTTCATTAACACCAATCTACCTCTAAAGCCATCATCATCTCACCTTCTGAGCAATAATCAATGCTTCGCCAATGAGTTGCTGTAAGCGTGGACGGAGGTGATCTCGATCCGCACTCCCTTCAAAAGCTGCACTACTGGCATAGTAGTATAGGTATGCAGCCTCGAGAAGCGCGTGTTTTGAGCTGCGCATCACGGTAGAGGGTAAGGAGTAGAAGGAGAAGAAATCTGTGATCTGATGAGTTCTCGGTTCCTGTCAACGCTTGTCAGCTTCAAGATTCACAAGAGGCTGAGTCCCCCACCTCCACTACATAACTCCAGACAACTTGTCCCCGTCTTCGCCCGTCAACGGGTTCGCCACGTCCTGCACCGCTGAGGATATTATGCCTCAGTTCTTCAATGGGGTAACGAGGATACAGCTTGAACCTCTCCATGTATTTCTGCCATAGAGAAGCTACCTGACCAATGTCTTTAATCTGCATCTCACGGAGTCCCCGGCTTGTAAGCTCAGATGGGGGAAGCTTGTTACGAGCAATCATACGAGCTACAGTCATGTTGCGAGGAACTGTCGTAAAATGTGTATCGACGAGTTTCGGGATGTTGAGGGACCTGTGAAAATATCTAGACGATGCAGATCCTTATATTCCCTCAGCAATTCAGACCAAATTAGAAACACACACCTACAAGTGGACACCGGGGTAGGCAAGACGACGCCAGCGGTATAGATCGCCTGAAAGATACCCTTAAGGTGGCACTGCCGGGTTACTTCCTTGATCAACACAGGCGCGAGACGCTTTGAGCGCAGTTTCTTGTGAACACAAAGATAATTGATCTCGCTCATGCGCACCTCCCTAAAAAATGACGAATTAACCTAATTTCTGAATACTGTGGGGGACCGTACTTGTTTCGAACTACGAGGGTAATTGGGACACCCGATATGAATGCCACTAACTTCTTCGATGATCGCACTCTAACACCAACATGCCATTCTTTATGATATCCTGGAGGCATGAGGGCCCTAGAAACAGGGTTGGATTCAAGACCCGCATCACGAATCTGGAATGCACACCATTGAAGGAATTCGGCAGAGTATTGGAAACGGAAGGCTGCCTCGGTATCCTCTACGTAGTTTTGTGACAGCAGTTCGTATACTTCCCGTGACTGGTGCTTCGGTTACCAATAAACTAACGTTGGTGCTGCGAAACGAGTACGTACTTGAACGGCATCTGAAATATCCAACATAGACCACTCAAAGTCCTTAGGTAGAGGATCGGGTTCCTGTTTGATCTCCTCTAGTGATTTCGGCAATTCAATTGGCCCGTCATCAGAGATAGCATCGCCTTTCAAGTGCAGCTTGGTTAGATTAGTAGGAGGTCTGTGCTGGACGTCGCCTTACCAGGCTGCGGTACAGGCTGCGTTTTCCAAAACTTCAAAATGCATCAGGATAGGAGGCGATAGACGAAGGGGAACGAGGGAGATATTACTTTATGCTCACTAATATCCTTCCTACTCTTGCCACCCAGACCGCTTCTACTGTTGAGCATGTCTTTAAGCCGCAGTTTCCCGAGCATTTCTTGGATCTTGTTCGCGTCCATATCTCGAAGCTCAGGATGATCCTCTATTTGAGAATGGATCGCATTAACAATGCCTTGAGGAGGAACCCTCTCAGCGGGATTAGGAGAGACTGAGGATAGCGAGGATGTGGGCTCCGACTTCTTTCCCTTGCTGTCATCCGCTTTAGCCCCATTCGCTTCCTCCGAAGAGGGATTGGCGGAAAGGTCGGATGATACTTTTTCAGCTCTTTTAGACTCTTTCGAGTTCGGCATCTTGATTAGGGCTGGGTCCTGAATCGACACCGGAAATTGCCTAACCTTGTTTGCAAGATTGAGAAATTAAGTCTTGACTCCAGTACTGCCACTCTCACACAGCCGTGGACACGCTCTGTGCACTTTAGTGACCAAGTCCCTTCTATTCGTTGATTGGGGATTTTGTCCGTCGCATATGGGAGGACATGAGTCCCACCGTCTTCCATTCCTCCCTTCCGACGCAATTATTCCTACCCTCAAATGTGAGCATACGAAGAGTCCCGTAAGACAGATAGACAATTTTATATCACTACATACGCCTAGTCTTCGAGACTTTCCGATCTTGATTCTGAAATTTCCCTGTGCGTCTAGCGGAAAGAACGATCGTCAGCGCCACAGTTTCGAGCCTAATATCAACATTTGCTGGCTATCCAGTTAGTCTGGTCGCGCCGCCACTTGCTTGAGTATTGACTTTTGATCATAGCTCGATTCATTAAAGAGTAGGCTTCAAGCTCGTCGGACTCCGATCACAGTTTTTAGGTTAGGTGTGTCATTTGGTTCCTTGCTGTCATCACCGCGACCGAATCCAAAGCCCTCCAGGCATCGGTATATGGAGAGAGGAAGGTGTCGGTGCGTAAACTGGCTTTTAACATGACACCCACTCTGATCCGGTGACAGCTGGATTTTTTCGAGGCATCTGGATACCTCTCTTCACAATATCAGCCGTAAGGGCTGCTTCTTTTACAATCTATACAGGAACGAAGGAGGCACTGCAGAAGGCCCATTGGCTGGACAATCGTCGTCTTACACATGTCGTGTTAGCTGGATGGTTTGGTGGTGCCATTAGCGGCTCCGTCATATCAGCTGGCAGTGCTCGTAGGTCACTCATGGACGACTTATATCAACCCTGCCTGACTTTCCAATCTAGCCTTTGAACTCGTCAAGGTTTGACATCTTCCTAGCACCTGTTTCCAACACTTCCCAATTCTGCTCTAGGTTCGACGGCAGTTGGAATTTTCCATTGCTGAGAAGCGAGGTGTAGTGCTTCATAAGGCCCCTTCAACTGCAGCTTCCGTGCTAGATATAGTACACCAAAGTGGAGTTCGTGGGCTGTACACAGGTAAGATCATCTTTGGTATACCAATCGTTCTGGTTTCACCCTGGGATGAACACCATAAGGTTTCCACTTGCATCTGTGTAGGTGCACATTGAACCAGTGGAGCACGATTCTGATGTGAGCATGAGCAGTGCGTGACACGCTTGGGACGGCGATGTACTTTGCGGAGTATGATTGCTTTCGCCGTATATTAGGAAGACTCCCCTCCGGTGCCCAAGGGCCGCAACCTGCCTGGTTGCCTTTCCACCTCCCTGACTCACTACTCCCTTTTTTGTGCGGAAGCTTTGCTGGCGTGTCCAGCTGGGCAATCATATATCCGTTGGACGTGGTGAAGACCAAAGTACAACAAAGGGCATTATCCGGAGAGCAATATCGTAGCGCATTGGAGACGTTCACTCGTCTGGTGCGAGGGACCGACCCAGATAAACCGAAACCTATCTACCTCGGCCTTGCGCGCCTGTATCGTGGCCTTGGTGCGTCCATTTCTTTATGCAACGGTGCAAACATTAGCTGGAACTTCCAATGAAATAGGTGTAAGCGCTTCAAGGAGTATCATAACCCATGGAGTCCTTTGGACTATGTTCGACAAAGTTGGAGTATTGATTGATTCACTATAAGCACATGGCTCTGTGACGGTGTAGCTTCGCTTTCCGAATTTAACAAAGATTGTTCTGAAGCATTACTTGCAAAATTTGCATGCTTGGCTCTCAACGTTCCTCGCCTCGGGGTTGTCTTGAACCTCTCAAAACAACCAACTCCGAAAATGACCCGTGCCTTCTGATTTTCCGATTTCTACCCGGATGCTGGGAAACCGTAGCCCTGTTCTCTACGGCCGCAGGGACAACGAATGGCAGATCGGCAGTGAAAAGGACGCCATGGACCCAACCAGCATATGGACCCCACTGCGTATGGAAAAACGATGCCATCTGCCCTCGTGTTGTTGGTGATATTGTGGTCCCGCGCATACGGTTTCCTGCTGGGAAATTGTAGTGCTTGATTGCAATGGACACCATGTGTGTGTCAATCGGGACCGTCGCATGCTTGACTATAGGTTCAGAGTATGCGACACTTGGGGGCTATTCAACACACTACCTTATCCAATGACATGAGCAGAACACAGTCGGCGACTTTGGGACCAACCCCAGGGAGTTGCATTAATTCATCCCTTGCACTTTCGTAAGTGCATTCGCGTAGGCTCAGCAGCCATTTCTGAGGATCCTCATGCTTTTTGCACAGTAAGGCTGCCGTCTGTTGGATAAACTTGGCACGATAACCAAAGCCAAGGCTGCGCAAATCAGTCTCCACCGAAGGTTGAGCCAAACTCTGTGGCATTGGAAAAGGATGATTTGATGGATTTATCAACTCAGCATCTTCGGGTCCCAGAGTAAGAGGTTGCGAGAAATGAAGACACAGTTTATGCACCATGGATGTAATTCGAGGTATATTATTATTCTGAGAGCAAATGAACCTACGGACAGCAACATTGAGCCACCCTCAGACGAAGCAATGAAGGAACACCCAACGAAATTAATGTTTCCCATGGGTCTTGGCGGAGAATCCGTATCCCTCCACCGAAGTGCTGACGAGCAGCGATGAAAATCGGATCTACGACTGCATTGAAAATAGCCTCAGTGTCGACATGAAGATGAAAGTAATCCTGGATCCACAGCCGTGTCCAATCCGAGTCTTCGGCAACCCCGTTCGCCAAGATCGTCCGGAAAAAAATATATTCTTCGTTTTGGCGTAAGCAGACCACTCGATCGAACAACACAAAGCGCCATTCTGGAGAGTACGGCTCAAGATCGAGTCGGTCCCATCTGAAGGTTTGACCACATTTCAATACGAGTGAAAGGTTCAGTTGAGAGGGCAGAACTCGGATGGCATCGAAGCCCCGCGGCAGCAGATGCATTTATGACAATGACCACACATATCACGTGGCTTTCCTCCACTTCAATATATACTTCAGCGGAGCTGTCCGAACCGATTTGTTATATTTGTTTATATCTAATATTGGTCTTGCTGTGGGATGTCTCTCTCATCGAAAGTCTCATCTAATGGCTCGAACTCGGCGTTCAATGACAAGGTGTGCTCTGCGAGCGCTCGCGAAGCCATGGCGTTTTCTAATGTTTCCCAGAGGAAACCCATGGAGGTCCGATTATCCAACATGACTGCCGCGAAAGGTGAACAGATTCTGTTCTGTGTTTCTCAGCACATTATTAATCGAGCTGGAGGAAGCCATAAGTGATGCCGTCCGCACTTCCTTGGGGCCGAGAGGGATGGACAAAATGGTGTGAATTTTCCATCATCCTCTCTCACTCAAGCTCATGAAACTCAAGATACAAACCGCTCAAGGAGAGGTGATTGTCACCAATGATGGTGCTACAATATTAAAACACATGGCGGTATTGCATCCTGCAGCAAAAATGGTACGTAATCACTCACTCATAACCCTCTGCATATCGAACTCATTGGAGCGAAAGCTTGTTGATTTGTCTGCAGCACAAGATGTGGAGGGTACGTAACCGTTGCCCTGTGAGGGACCCGTCTCTCAATTAAAATTAGCTGGTGATGGCACGACGTCCGTCGTTGTACTCGCCGGCAGTCTACTGAGCGCCGCAGAAAAAATGCTCGCCAAAGGGATACATCCTTCGATCATTGCTGAATCATTCATCAAGGCGTCCCTGAGAGGTGTACAATATCTTGATGAAATTGCGACTCCTGTGGACCTTAAAGACAAAGGGAGTCTGCTCCGGGCTGCAACCACCAGCCTCAACTCGAAGGTAGCCAACATCCGAACCTTGTCCGTCTCTGAATGTGGTTAACTGTCCACGCTGTAGATTGTATCCCAGTACTCTTCAATCCTCGCCCCGATCGCGGTCTCTGCTGTAACTCGACTGACTACTCCGACATCGTCTAATGTCGACCTTCGTGATATAAGAATTGTTAAAAAAGTCGGCGGTACCATAGAAGACACCGAACTCATTGATGGAGTTGTCCTTAATCAATTGGTGATCTCCAGTGCTGGCGGTCCAACAAGAATGGAAAAGGCCAAAATTGGTTTAATCCAATTTCAGGTCAGCCCGCCTAAACCTGATGTAAGCATATCTTCTGCAGCAGCGAGTCATGGACAGCCAATGATGACCTCCTCAGATGGACAACCAAATTGTTGTCAATGATTACCGACAAATGGATAAAATACTCAAAGAAGAGCGCGAATATTTACTTCGGCTCTGCAAGAGGATAAAGAAAACAGGATGTAATGCTCTCCTGATCCAGTGCGTGCCCCTTGGTCCTGACAATAAGGACATGCTCAGTTATGAATTCAGGAAATCCATCTTGCGAGATGCAGTAACAGACTTATCCTTGCATTTTCTGGCAAAATTGAAGATTCTCGTGATAAAGGACATCGAACGTGACGAGATCGAGTTTCTCTCCAGAAGTACTGGGGCACGCCCTATAGCAGACATTGAAGCCTTTAGCGAAGATAAACTTGGGTTTGCGGAACTTGTGGAGGAGACACAGAAAGCCGAAGCACGTGTAGTCAAAATAACAGGTGTCAAGAATCCCGGCCGTACAGTTTCAATTCTATGCATGGGTAGCAATAATGTGGTGCTTGAGGAAACTGAGAGGAGCTTACACGATTCACTCTGTGTTGTTCGATGTCTCGTCAAAAGACGGCAAGTGCACCTCATTCATTACGTGATTAGGTAACTCACACATTCCACAGTGCCTTGATAGCGGGAGGGGGCGTCCCCGAAATACACACATCACGTATGCTTTCCCAATATGCACAGACCCTCAGCGGTCTGGAAGCATACTGTTTCCAGGCATACGCAGACGCGTTGGAAGTCATTCCAACAACCTTAGCCGAAAATGCGGGCTTAAACTCGATTGCCATTGTTAC